CACTGCTCAGGGGATGGGGAGCAAAGCATGTGCTTGTTTATAAAATAGTGCTGCTCCTTGGATGTGTGGCAACATGGTCATAGCAGACGTGACAGAATGAGTTCCTTACCTCGGATCTGAAGGTTGGCGAAAGTCTGCACTGGGATTGTGATTCTACAGAGACACAAGGAAAGAGGGAGAACACAGGTTTGGAATGCGTCCTTATTAATAACCACCACGCCTTCTCCCCCAATGCCCCAATTAATTCATTTCAAGCTTTGTTCTAGATAAGCTTTATAATCAAAGAACTTCAGGGGAGAAGCAACCATCTCAAAAAGTTGTTGATCACACTAAAGTGGTTAAAAGGCCTTTGAGTCATTAAAAGTCCATTTGCAATGTAGAAATATTTAATTAGATGTTCACTTTTACTGAATCATGTAACATGTTGATTGAAGTTTTCAAGCCGTTCAGTGGTTTGGCTTCAAAAATGTTACTGAGCCAAGAACACCAGTCAGATGCTTGACAGGAATCACTTGCCCATGCTTAAATATTACTTGACAGATATTCAGTCTAGTTGGAAATATTTGATATACAATAGATAAAGTGTTTTACCACTGCAGATCCTAGGTATGGATTGATGGAACAGGCCAAGAAAATGGCCAGTGACTTTACTTGATCAGGTTCAAAGGGGGTGGAGGGCCAGTGGATGAAAGGTTAAGCTGCTAGAGAACTTGACGGGCAACAATGCTTGTGTTTTCTTTTGTTTTCTTTTGTTTCTTTACTTCTCTCATGACATTCTACGCCCAACAAGCCCAGCTTTTCTTGGAGCAAGGCCTCCTAATGTCCTTGTGAAGCAGAATTAACTAGAACAATTATAACATGCAAGAATCAAAAAGGAATCTTCCACCAAGAGTCTTTCATGGTACAGTCCTTCCTGCCACTGAGGACTCTACCATGTTACATGCTACCGAGGGCTTTTTTTTTGTGATCTGCAATTTTCTTCTGAACAGCCATTGGCAATTTCACTGCGAAAGATATATCGTCATAACCCGGTAGAGACAGGATGTTGAAGTGTCTATATCTCACCTGCTCTCTTCTCCTTCCAGGAGTTTACGATAGGTGGCAATCTCAATGTCTAATGCCAATTTGACATTGAGGAGGTCCTGGTATTCCTGGAGGTGACGGGCCATCTCCTCTTTGAGACTCCGGGTATCTTCCTCCAGTCGAATCACTGTGTCCTGGTAGTTGGCAGTCTCAAGGGCATAGCGGTCTTCCATCTCCCGCAGCTGCCTCTCCAGAGATTCATTCTGAAATGAGGGAAACGGAAGATTTGCTGGCAAAGGCCACCAAGGCAGTGACCTGTTAGGAATTTGCACCAGGCAAGGGACACCCTCTGCCTGCAGCCAACAAGGGTAGATTATCAACGCCCCCGGGCACCAGTGGTGTCAATGACAGCAAGCCTGGACACTGTTTGGAGTCTCTGAGCGGTGTACGTTTCTGGGACCGTGCCTTTTTCTTAATTGAACAAGTCAATAAGCTGCCTTTCTGCTAAACCACTCAAGGCACAAGTTATCATTTTAAATCATGACTTACAATCTAAGAGTCATGACCAGAAGGAACAGAGAAAGGAAAAAATTAGTGAGTTCATGTACTACCCAACACACTCATACTGTTACATAATAAAGTTACATAACCACAAAGTAGAATATCACTGTAAAAGACATTCGTGGGAGGGGGTGGAAGGGGAGAACTGGTGGCAGGAGCTAGGCTACTCTGAGGGCTTTTGATTGTCTCACTTCATGCACTGTTAGTGATTTCACAGAGTCCACGAAGAAGAACCTACAGCCAGACAGCATATAATGCCCCTGTTACAACAGCTTTACCAGCTGCCAGCCTGTTTCCAGATCCAATTCAAAGTGGCTACAGCCAGACAGCATATAATGCCCGTTATAACAGCTTCACCGGCTGACAGCCTGTTTCCAGATCCAATTCAAAGTGCTAGTTACAACCTATAAAGCCTTATGCAGGGGATCAGTTCCAACCCCCACCCCCACCCCCATAGATGCCAGAAAATAGCAGATGAGCAAAGCACTTATTTCCAGTTACTTTGATGTCCATGCACAGTTGAGAGAGGTTGTTCTGGCCCAGTCTTGCCAAAGGACTGTGTTTTCTGCTCTCCTGTTTGCAAGGGAGGCTTCCCTTTAAACTGTTTGCAGGGAAGACTCCTCCAAACCCAAATGCAGTTTCTCCATTTCACCTCGGAGTGAACTGCTTTCCTCAGAGACCAGGAGTATTATTTCTATTAAGCCACCGGAATATAGCATAGTCTCCGGTTCCATCTAGTGGCCACTTCTGGTAATATACCTTGAAAGTTTATTTCTGGGTTTTCTTTATTAATTAATTTTTTCAGGCAGCAGATAAATGAAGCTGCAGATCCTGATCCTATGGATACGGTGGTCCTACTGTACATTTTGGGTCAAGGCTGTTTGAATGATTGTTTCCCCACATATGAACCTGCTCAGCTCCTACAATCATCAGGGGAGGCACCCTTCTCAATCCCACTGCTCTCCCAGGAATGTTTGGAGGTAATGGGAGAGAGGGCCTTCTCTGTGGCTACTCCCATGTTGTGGAATGCCTCCCTTGGGAAGTTAAGTTGGCAGCTTCCTTTGTGTCTTTCCAGCATCAGATAAAGGCATTTCTTTTAAAACATATTTTATGTTTTAAACATATTAAAACATATAACATTGGGCATCAGGGGTAAACACTCCCCAAGTTATGATATTTTAAAGTGTACCTTTAAAGGTTGTCTTAGTGTTCGTATAACCTATTTTTATATAATCCTATATTTAATTGTTTAAAACTGTATATTTATTGTCTTTCAAAGCTTTTACTTGTATTTTAATTATTGTGAACCACCTTGAGTCTCTTTATGGGAGAAAAGTGACATAGATATAAAATAAACAGCAGTTGACTTCTGTTGAACTGGTGGAGCTGGTGTTACTCTCTCTTCTCCTCGTATCCAGCCAGATCGGATACTTGGTGATAGAAGACGTTCTAGAGCAGAGAGACCAAATAGTGTTGGTTTCAGATAAGTTACTGGAGGAGATTCACTGTCTCATCCTGTCCACACTATGAAATTTGGTACAATCCAGCCTGTGCTAAGAAGGTTCTTATCTTCAGTGTAATCTTGGTGGTCTTTTCCACCAATGGGAGCGAGAGTGTGTCCATGAAGGCAGAACAAAGAGCTCTTTTGCATCTCAATGATTCATTCCAAAAAGATTGCATGTCCTAGCCCTGTGCCAGAAAGATATGGGCCAGCTCTTAAAGGGTCAGGATGGATAGTTTTAAGTAGAAACAGAAGCGGACAAGGTCTTCTTTCCCATGCCAAACAGTGCTATCATGGAACCATACACCATAACTATATGCCAGTGTGGAGTGCTACTCTTCCCCATCTTTATGAGATTACTTTCAACCAACATAAACTACCATCTAATCAGGCTCTCTGGGTATTCCATCTCTGCCTTTCCCATCTTCACCTACCGATCCTCTCAAGGACTCCAAATCACAGGTGAGGGCCTGCAATTGTCGGCGGTACTCGTTGGCTTCTTGCTTGGCTAAGCGGAGAGCTTCAATGTTCCGTGCTGCAGCATCAGTGAGGTCTGCAAACTGACAAGGAGACACTGGTTGGATCAGAGGTTTCAGATAACCTCTTAGATCAAACAGAGGTAAGTGGACTTATTTATGTCTAGAAACTATATTTTTTAACTCCCAGAGCCTCCATTTCACTTCCTAATACATAATAACCAAGAGTCCCCAAAACTGTAGAAATTAAAATAATGTCATAGTTCTTCACTAATGCTAGTTCCAAATTCATGGTCAAAACTGGAAGTTTCTCATAGAACAGATTACTGTACTTTATCACAGGGGATAATAGCTACTGCTGAGGTAATGCAAGGAAAATGTTGCTGTTCTGTGTGGATTGTGCTACAAATGTTATTTGTAATAAATGTGCATGTTGCTTATACCTCTGTATGTTTCTTCTTCAGCTAGTAATAATAATATTTAATAGAATTAGCTTGATGGAACCAAATGAATCTTACTAATTGCACAGCCCTGTTTTGATTCTTGGAATCAAAACAGACACCACCCCACTTTTCCTGGGGTTTTGTTGTCTGCGAAGTGGGACAGGGACTGCCCTTCACACTAAAATTCAGCCTGTGTAACACATAACAAGTTCTTCACACACAATGAAGAAAAACTCTGGTAACACTGACACACAGCCTGAATTTCTGGACTGAAATTGGCCATTAGAGATACCATTCTGCATGCCCACCCCTTGCAATTTGGTGGTGCACTTTGTAGCCTTGTTTGGTTTAATACCAGAATTAACAGTCCTTTTGTTGGGTATTTATCGCCCACCAACCTGTGCTTCATCACGACCAGAGTACTGCTGCTGTGTACCTTAGACTTGTACCATTCCTCAGTCTCATGCATGTTGTTTGAGGCCATGGACTCATACTGGATGCGAATCTCACGCAAGGCAGATGTCAAGTCTGGCTTGGCCATGTCCATCTCAATGTGGACCTGTTGCTGCTGCAGCTGTTCCTGCAGCTCCCGCAGTTCCTGAGAGGGAGACAAAAGAGTCATGAAACCAAGAGTCAATGTGATTTTCCCAAGAGAACCCACCTGACTTCAGAATGTATACTCATCAGGACTAAGGCTGTAACTACACTGGAAAATACCGTGTTTCCCCAAAAATAAGACAGGGTCTTATATTAATTTTTGCTCCAAAAATGCATTAGGGCTTATTTACAGAGGATGTTTTATTTTTACAGGTACAACCATCTACGTTTATTCAAATACAGCCATGTCATCTTCTTCTGGTTGCTGCACAAGGGTGGAGGGTGGAGTTTCACTTAACTGGGCCTTATTTTTGGGGTAGGGCTTATATTACGAGCATCCTGAAAAATCCTACCAGGACTTATTTTCAGGTTAGGCCTTATTTTTGGGGAAACAGAGCAGTATGAGAAGTAGAACTGATGAATTCAACCTTTTTTTTTTACACTGTTCACACAATGCAAAGGCCAATGTGAATCAGCCTGGCCCTTTTTGCTTCAGATGTGGAGTTATTTTCGTGCTGCTCAAGGCTTCTACTTTCAAAAGTCAGAGCAGTTTGAACAGTGTTTTCCTGATATAATCAGTGGTTTTGTTCTCCAAAAGATCAGAATATGTTAGTGTGGGTGGTGCTCTGGTCATGTACTAACCTGGGCCTGATGTTGTGGACAGCAGGAACACCCACAGTCTTTTAAAGTACATAATAGTGAGAGAGGAAATAAGAACAACATGTCTTTTGTCCACTTCCTCTCTCATCTCCAGGTAATTTTTCAGGAAGGTTATCTACCCTGCACAATTATATCAGCTTAATGCCACTTTGTAACTGCCATGGTTCCACCCTATGGAATCCTGAGATTTTGAATTTGGTGCAGTAGCTAGAATTCTCTGCCACATTCTGGTGCCTTCTCCTGAATTACAACAGAGAAGTCTAAATACTCCCCAACAGACTAAAATCTAAGGGTTCCATAGGATAAAGTCATGGCAATTAACATGGTAGCCCAATACTACGACTTTGCAATGTACTACAGTATAGGCACAGCACAGAACCTGAATGTATACATCCTAGAAGGTATGCAGATATACTTTCTCAAGATACTGTGTACAACTCTATATTTTGCAAGTTGAGATAAGCAGCCCAGTAGATTAAAAAAAACCTTGCAAAAATGTTTAGAATGAATCAAAAGCTCAAAAGAAAACAGGAAGATAAACAAGCATATATGTATTTTATTTCTTTCTCTGGGTCTTTTCATCTCCACCACTGTGTGTTTATATGTTTATGCTGCCTTTCAGTTCTTTCGTGTATATGAAAGCCATTTTTTAATGGGCATGGCTTCTATGGCAACTATTTTATGACAATACGCACAACAGAGTCGAAGTTCCAGGTGTGTCTGTAGTCTTGAAAAGTTGAGACCCTTGAGTATCACACATGAAACCATCACGTTCATTGTGTAGGCACTAAAAAGTCAATATGACATTGTGTAAACATAGAAAGGGAAAAAGAGCAGAAGCCAATCTGAGCCTTGTGTAGCAGCTTCTCGAGATGGAAGAATTTTAATTTTACATTGGACTCTGTTACCTCATCATGGACCTTCCTAAGGAAGTTGATCTCCTCCTGCAAGGATTCGATTCTGCGTTCCAGGTCTATCCGAGCCAATGCAGCATCATCAACATCCTGTGGGGACAGACAAACTGGGAAATGAGAGGGAAAATGAGTACCAGTCAACCTGTTTGAGCCCCATGATGTGATAACGTTAACACAAGGAGGAAATGAAACAGAAGCTCTTGCCCTGTGACAGGTGCCTGTCCTGGACCCTGCTCGTCTGCTGTATCTGACTATATCCAGTGACAGAACTCTGAACAGCTGATGATTAAAGGGGAGACCCGTAGTCTGTGAGTTCCAGTGTTTCTGCCTGAAAGGCAAGAGAAACCTTAGCAGTTCTGGAACAGAAGAACATCAGTTACACAACAGGCAGAAATTCAACTTATGATGGATATCCCAACAAGGAGGAGACACGGTGATAGAAATAGCTGCACTTGCTGAACTGTTGCTTCACATTACATTTTTAAAGGACACACAAGTTCTGTACAAAAATAAAAGATAACACACACAAACCCCTCAAGGTACAAAGTCAGGTGCAGATTGAAGACTAAACTATGCTTTACTACTGCATGCCTATGGCAGGAAAATTCACTATATTTTAAACTTTCATTGACCTTTAAAAAAGGTTTTCTCACCTTTCCATCAGACCCTTTTAAGGTAGCTTACAAACAACACTGCAGATAAAACACATTTTTTAAAAACTCAAGTTATTTAAACTAGCAAAGAACACACAAGAATTGAAAAATGACCTAAATTTATATCAAGGATATCCATGTTCCTTTGCTCGTTTTAAAAATAAAACCCTATTATCCATTATATCCATAAGTGTTTTTTTTCATTTTAGCAACATATTTTATCAGGATTGTGAACAGCAGTAGAGCCAGGATGTACTATATGTGAACATCCTAGCACTCAAGTAGCTAATCTCCCTTCCCCTATTTTACTGGACACCTACTGTTACTTGAAGGAAAAGCAAAGTGTTCTGCTTATGTACTGCCCCATAGTGCTTCAAGCACTCTCTGATCAGTTTACAAGTTAATTATTCAGGCTACACATTGCCCCCCCCAGCAAGCTGGGTACTTATTTTACCGACCTCGGAAGAAGGCTGAGTCAACCTTGAGCCAGTACCTGGGATTGAATCCCAGGTCATGAACATAATTTTGGCTGCAGTACAGCAGTTTAACTACTGCGCCACGAGGCTAAAGCAAATTTCACACCCAAGTTTTAACTGAATCATAAATATAATACAGTATTAAAACTACATTGTAGTCCTAGTCAATACAATTTATGTCAAAGGAGATATGTTTATGAAAAGAATGTTAATGTGAAATGTTACATTATTTTTCCTTGGTAAATCTAGTATGAGGGATGTGGTGGTGTGAGGGACGTGGTGGCGCTGTGGGCTACATGGTGGCGCGAGGGACTTGGTGGTGCTGCGGGCTAAACCGCAGAAGCCTGTGCTGCAGGGTCAGAAGACCAGCAGTCGTAAGATCGAATCCACGTGACGAAGTGAGCGCCTGTCGCTTGTCCCAGCTCCCGCCAACCTAGCGGTTTGAAAGCATGCAAATGCAAGTAGATAAATAGGGACCACCTCAGTGGGAAGGTAACAGCGTTCCGTGTCTAAGTTGCACTGGCCATGTGACCACGGAAGATTGTCTTCGGACAAAACGCTGGCTCTATGGCTTGGAAACGGGGATGAGCACCGCCCCCTAGAGTCGAACACGACTGGACAAAAATTGTCAAGGGGAACCTTTACCTTTACCTAAATCTAGTATGTGAGATAAACCTGGTCCCTTGAGCAGCAAATTTGGCTTCTGTTGTCACTGTCCAGAGGGTGAAGTGGCTGAGTCTTTCAGCATTCTTTCATTATAAATCCCAATATTTCTATTCCTTAAGCAATCATAATATTATACCAGTGGTATAAAAATTGCCATGCAGAATCTACTTGGTGCAAGATGTAAATATAAAAATATTTTTCCTTAAAAATCAATTTCATTAGGAGCAAAATCCTGCTTCATATTTACTCAGAAGTGTGTTTTCATTCAGCAAATGCCAAGCTCTCCTTGTTTCCCTCTTATTAATTTCTATTCCTTAAGCAATCATAATGTTATACCAGTGGTATAAAAATTGCCATGCAGAATCTACTTGGTGCAAGGTGTAAACATAAAAATATTTTTCCTTAAAAATCAATTTCATTAGGAGCAAAATCCTGCTTCATATTTACTCAGAAGTGTGTTTTCATTCAGCAAATGCCAAGCTCTCCTTGTTTCCCTCTTATTAATGGCTTTCCTCTCATTTATTTCTTTCAAATATAAAGGAGCCACTAATTAAAGGACAGTAGATATCACTATATGTTGCAGTTTTATTTTTAAACAAACAGATCAAGCTGGGGGGGGGAAACCCAGGAGGACAGAAGATTTTGGAATGGCAACAATGTAATTTACATCATTGGCTGGAATCCTACTGGTATTCATGAAAGTTTGCGTAACTTGCCACAGCTGATTGTGGCTCACTGACTAGGTACTGAGATGCATCTCTGTTGTGAATCAGGCCTGTGAACAGGCATACAGCTGAGACATTTCCCACTACCTCATCAATCAGTCACAATTAGTTGTGCCAAGTTATGCAAAGGACAGTTTATGCAAACTTAGGTAAATACTAATAGGATTTGGGACCCAGATTTCTAGCCCTCAACCTGCTGATGTTACTGGACTACAACTCCCAGAATTGCTCATAATTGACCATTCTGGCTGGCACTTCTAGGAGATGAAGTCCAGCAACATCTAGAGACTCTTGTTTTAGGAAAAACGTATCAAACATATCTGTAAAAATGCAGCAAACAATTGACATCCAGTCCACACTAAACAGTCAGTGTGAAACAAAAAGATCTAAAGCCAAAATACATATTTAGAGAAATGCATCCTTCCTGCTCTTACATTTTCTCCCCACAACAGGAACTGCTTCCAAAAATAATCTTGATGATACATGGTTCTCTTTGTAGTGTATTTTTACATTGTACCTCCCCCCCATGTGAGAGGAAACACCTTCTAGAAACAATTTCTCTGAACATGTTACATAGCTCAGAGTGGCCCAGAGAACAAGAAATTGGTGCCCAAACCATCACATTCTTGATCTGAGTCCTACTGTGCAAGACACTGGCCCTTTCTTTTCACCTTGATTTGTTCAGGGGACATAGTTAAGCTCCTGGCCCTTATCAGAAAGAAGACAACAGACACATATAAACTTATAGGTGCACACCCACCCAGCTACCCACACTGCTTATTAATAGAAATATGGCAGTGGAACCTTCTAACATGTACTACAAATTGCCTATCTTCAGCACTTGCAAGAGACCACAAAAGATGGAGGAAAGATAGTCACCCTAAATCAGTTAAAACTTATGAAGGTATCTTGAATTCCCTTTCCATAGCTTCACAACAGTATTTGTCATCTTGCCACCTCACCTGTCGGTAGGAAGACAAATTGTTTTCAGCTTCAAGGCGCAGATTAATCTCATCCTGTAACCTTAAATGAGAGAGAGAGAGAAAAAAAAACAGAGATGGGAAAATGAGGCACCCTTATTGAATTATTGGTTCTTCTCTTCTATGAGTAGCTAAAGCCCAGGGAAAACATATCAAAGATAAAACGTCTGTGGAGTTCTCAGTGCTCTGCTAATTCCCGGGTGCTTATATACTTGTACACTCCACCTCACAAGGTTTCTGCCCCTTTAGCCTTTGTATGCAGTGATATTAGTTATTAGTAATTATTGTGAACAAAAATAATCGTGTTGCAAATATACCTCGAGTCCCCACAAGAGCTCCTGTGGAGTGGGAAGAGTCAACTGCCTCATTTCCCTCAAGCAACTGTTTATTTGTTTGTTTCTTCATGTAACATCTTGCCCTTCTCTCAGTTAAAGACCTAGGCTGGTCCACAACATACATTAAAAACAGAGACAGCTAAACCGACAGGCCAGTATCCTTCCTCTTCCATAATACCTACGGAGATTGGGGCAGCTGCCACCGTCCTCTGACAAAGTGCCAGTTGTGCATAAGGAGCAGCAGCTCCTCAGATCTCTGCAGCCATTTCCATAGTTGGAGTTCCCTGTTTGTGATTACTGAACACTAGGATGGCCATGTTATGTTATAATACTATGACACAATTGAACTTTTAAAAAAGGTAAAGGTAAAGGTTCTCCTTGACATTTTTTTTTAGTCCAGTCATGTCCGACTCTAGGGGGCGGTCCTCATCCCGTTTTTCAAGCCGGAGAGCCAGCGCTTGTCCGAAGACAGTTTCCATTGTCATGTGGCCAGCGTGACTAGGGAACGCCTTTTTTACCTTCCCACCAAGGTGGTCCCTATTTATCTACTGTCATTTGCATACTTTTGAACTGCTAGGTTGGCGCGGAGCTGGGACAAAGCGACAGGCGCTCACTCCATCGCGTGGATTTGATCTTACGATTGCTGGTCTTCTGACCCTGCAGCACAGGCTTCTGCGGTTTAGCCCACAGCACCATTTAAAAGCAGAACAATAGGCCAAAGGACAACACCCACTGTTAAAAGCAGTCAGTCCTCAGCCAAAGACCTGGCCTTGCCTGCTGTGTGGAAGAAGAACAAGGAGGAGAGAGACCAGCCTTGCCTCCTGTAGAAGAGAATTCCATAGCCTGGAGCAGCCACCAAGAAGGCCATCACACACACCCTCACCAAATGCATCTGCTAAGGTGGCAGAACAGAGCAAAGGTCTTCAGACTTAGGTGGCTTCATATGAAGAGATACAGGTCTACAGATAGTCTGGACCTAAGTTGCACCAAGGCGTCACAGGTCATTGCCTGCGCTTCTTTTTAATAGGAGGGAAGTGGGAGGGGGGGAGAGAAAGAAGGCTGAAGAATAAAGTGAATTCCCCACCTTGTTGTCATATTGGAGGAGGGATGAATTTCCACCTTGTCTTTTCTTACTGTCAGGGCTTCTCTTTGTTTTCAACCTTCCGTTTCTGTGGGAGAACTTTTGCAATACGCAACAGTTTTCAGGGGAAAAGGGGAGAGTCATCTCTCTCTTTTCATTTCACAAAGACTTTTTTCATACTAGGGTAGGCCCTAAACATGAGAACAATCCCATCTTGTCTGAGGGTGGCCCCATTTCATGGCTGTACCAGACAGCAAGTGCCAAGTTTGCAATTAGAGTGAACTAATGAGAAGTTGCAACCAAATATTACAGGGTATTCCAAACACTAGTGCTGTTGATGAAGAACAAGGGTGGTAAACCTTCAGCCCTACAGCCACATAACAGCCCTTGACCTAATGTAACACAGGACATGGGCAAGTGATCAGCTCAAACCTTTAGTCAGACTTTCTGCAAGAACAACCTCTATATGTTCCAGCAAAAGACAAGGAGAAAGAGAGATGGGAGTGTTCAAAACAGGAAAGGCAGAAAAGGGGTGGCCTTGTGCACTTTGTAGCATCACTCCTGCCCCCCCACAACAGGCATTTCCCCTTGGAATCTGATCCTTGTCAGGACAGAAGAAAAGCCGCTCACTCCTGCTGTGGAGCTATAGCGCTCCTGCTCAGGGATTTCTGCTTAGCTAGCCCTAAACACACACTACTGCTCGGCTGTTCTGCAATCTAGGAAGCCTGGAGGTACTGGGGCCCTATAGCAAGGTTTTTCTATCTGAGGCTCCTTGTACAGCCCGTCTTGAACCTAAGCAAGATGAAGTGCTGCCACCCACTAAGGCTAAAGTGCTCCTCTTGTAGAGCAGAATAATCTGAAACAATCCAGAGTTACTCCTGGTCAGTTGAAAGGCATGGATGTGGTTAACCTTCCTATGCAAACATGAGTGTGCAGCTTGGGGGTGCTCTTGGATTCATCTCTGAGCCTGGATACCCAGATATTGGCAGTTCCTGGGCACTGTTAAAACGAGTGTGCCAGCTATGTCTGTTCTGATCTGGCCATGGTGACACATGCCTTAGTTACATCTTGGTTAGATTACTGTAGCACGCTCTATGGGGGGCTGCCTTTGGGAAGTGTTCAGACTCCCATGTTACAGCAGCTCCACTGACTGTCAATCAGTTTCTGGGCACAATTCAAAAAGCTGATTTTAACCTGTAATACCCTAAATGCCTTGGGCCCAAGCTATCTCCAGGACTGCACCCCCCGTTATGAGCCTGCCTAAATGGTAAGATCATGAAAGGATCCCTTTCTCTCAGTCCTGTCACCTTCACAGGTGTGTCTGATGGGGACACAGGAGAGGGCCTTCTCTGTTGCTGCTCCCAGACTCTGGAACTCCCTCCCACGGGAAGCCAAGCTGGCTTCATCTTTGCTGATTCTCTTCAGACAGGCTTTTCTTTAAATGACTGGCTTGGCCAAGAGGATTTTCTGAAGGGGCATTTTATTCTGTATTTTACTTGTGTTTTTAATATTGTTCTTATGAGTTTTAATATGATACTTTTAAAATGCTTTTTCAATATTGTAATGATTTATTATTTGGCTTTTAACTTTGTTTCTTTTAATACTGTAAGCCACCTAGGATCCTTTGGGAGAAAGGATGGGGCGGTGTATGGATATTTAAAATAAATAAGAATAAGTAAATAAGAAACAGGCATCAGAAACACCAGAGGGCCTATGGTAGCACTGCAAAGTAATGCTCTAATGTTATTATTATTCTGGGTCACAGTGAACCTAGAACAAGAGTACCAAAGTGAGAGCTTCTTCCTGGGACGTGCTGCTAGCTTTGAACCCGGACATTGCAGCATTAGTGGTCATATTCGGAACTAATTGCCTCAAACCCTCCCTTGGTCGCACCTATCCTGTTCTAAGAAGATCAGAGGTGGTTGCTGGTTGAGTGAGTGCTTTCAGACAAAGGCTGCTGTTGTGTAATTACAGTATCCTATTTCATTTCCAGAAATTTACAGCAGTTCCAGATGTTGCAAATTACACCCGCAAGCCTTCTGTGATTTCCTATTTCAATTCCATTCCACTACCACTTCCAAAGATCGTTACAGAGAAAAGGACAAAAGGGGTTCACAGTGTCTTTTGACTGGTACTACTAGGGACCTCTCATGTTTCAGGGGCTGTGAATGGCCCCCTCACCCCCACGGTCATGAGATTCTATGCTTTTACTAGTCAGAACTATTGTTTACAGTATCTGGCACCTGGGATAAGAAATGCTCACAATGAGGCAAACAGACAGATTATCTACACCATGCAAAACTGTTGCTAGATATGAAGACAGAAAATGTTGTCCTCTTGACCTAACACTTCTACCCTACAATTAGTCTGCTTTTCATCACACAATTCAGTTTCCCCAGAGCAATAGGAATGGGAGCCGTCATAGGGACTGCACTCAGATCACAGGCTTCCTGGCGGTATGGTTTGGATCCTACCTCTGACAAGGAGCTTGAAATTTTGGTCAGCCACTGTGGCATAGTGGATAGAGGCATCCAAACTGCAGGACTCAGGTGTTTGGGTTAAAATCACCACTAGGCCATGGAAACTAAAGGCCTAATCACATGGACCATTTGATTTGTTTCTATTTCGTCCTTTTTAAAATATTGATATCTTTGGATGCAGAGTCATGTGGTGTACATACCACTGGGCCTGTTCACATGACGGCCAGTTCAATCAGTACATATCTTTTTTGTGTGTACTGGTTTTATAGGCTACATGTGCCATCCTGTTTCTGTGTCCCTGCTGCCGTAAAATTTTATTTTAAAGAAATGGTAAGTGATACATCACTAAAGTGGGATATAAAATCATGTGTAGTTATGTAAAACTGTAGAAGGCAGCGAACACAAAAAGTTCACATGTGCTGAAACAATGAGGATTAAAGTGATAGAGGGATTGTATCATTTTTTAAAAGGTCATGCCATCAAGGTGGAAAAAAAACTCATTGGCTATCCAAATGAATCAATGTTATCTATGTATCATGCAAAATGAAATTCATAAAACGATTTAAATAATGTCAGAATCAATATAGCTAGGGTTCTTTTGGCATGTAAGACTTCACCCTAAATCAGATGGCAACGACGAAACCACTGCTTAAATATTTCACATCCTTGGAAAACCCTGTTATGGTTACTGTAAGTCAGTTGCAACTTGGTGGCACAAAACAACCATTTTTGCAAATTAAACTCTTGTTTCCTTCCAGGGACCAATCACAAAACAAAGCTTGTGGGAATGGAAAAAGAAAAGGACATGCTGTGACAAACAGATATCTTTCACTACTTAAAAGAGCACTGCTTCTAACTATATCATTTGATATCAGCTTCAGCTTCCAGTCAATGCTTGTACAAGGAAAGTGGGCAGGGTGCACCATCTTGTTCTTCCTTTCAGGTAATAAAATGTAGAGCTGACAGAGACACGTTTTACTGTTTTTGCAAACTGATAGTTTTGTTCCTCCTTGTGAAGCTCACATTTCCTCATGTTAGTCAGTGAGGAGGTTCACATGGTATATGGGCCACCAAACTCAGGGAGGGAGGCCCGGAAGGAAAAAACAAGAAACCGGGCCTTCTCGGCGGTGGCTCCTCGCCTCTGGAACAAGCTACCTCCGAAGATTCGCGCGGCCCCCTCGCTGGGTATCTTTAAGAACCAATTAAAAACGTGGACGTTTCGGCAGGCCTTCCCTCCAGCTAATTCCTTATGTTCTCCTTGTTTTTCTCTATTGTGACTCGCTTCGTTCGCTCTCCATCTTGTTAATGTGTCTACTGTATAATAATCCTTTTTAAATTTATTCATGTATTTTATGTTGTAAGCCGCCTAGAGTGGCCACAACTGACCAGATAGGTGGGATATAAATAGAATAAAGAAAAATAATAAATAAAAACAAATAAAAACTCAATGTCATGCCATGCTAACAGAACATCTCCTCCCCACCCACCCCATTTGTGCTTCTAGAATGGGTTCAGGCTTTATTTTATCTAGTTAGTTATGTGCTGTCAAGTCAGAATTGACTTATAGTGACCCTAATAAGGTTTCAAGGTGAGATATTTAAGTAGTGGTTTTATTAGTTCCATATTCTCCAGTATGTTTTCATGACCAAGTGGAGATTCAAACCTTGTTCTCCAGAGTCTCAGTCGATCACTCTGTCCACTACATTACACTGCTCTAGCATCCAGGGTTTTTTTTCCTGATTGCTCATGGAATGGACCACCAATTTCTCTATAGTCACTTTCCCCAATGCAATACCTTCCAGCTTGCATCATACCTCAACCATCTTGGTGATGCTGCTGAGGGAGGGTGGGATTTTAATCCGATGTAGCTGGAGGACACCAGGTTGGGAGAGACAACTCAAGCATCGAAGCCAAGCCACAACTGTGAAAATTCCATCCCATATTCCAAAAAGGTAATCAGACAGAATGTGATTGCTCAGAAATCACTCACAAAATCAACTCACCCTCACCCAAGCCCCAAACAACAAACAAGAACTTTCCCAACCCTCCTAATCCAATATTTTCCTAGCATCTGAATAATACTTTGCAGATCCATCCCTTGTCCATTTCTTTCTTACTTCTGCCGAAGATTGTTGAGATCCTCTAGCAGATTGTCTCTCTCGATCTCCAGCCGGGCCTTAGAGTTGGAGAGCTGGTCTACTTGGTGGCGTAGGTCCCTCACCTCCTCCTGGTAGATGTCTGCCAACTTGGTCGGCTCTTTGTCTCGTATTTGGTTGAGCTCAGCTACCAGGACTTTGTTCTGCTGCTCCAGGAAGCGGACTTTCTCAATGTAGCTGGCAAAGCGATCATTCAGCTCCATCATCTCCACCTTCTCATTGGTGCGGGTCTCTTTGAACTCAGTGTTGAGAGCATCGGCCAAGGAGAAATCCACCTTGTCTGATGAAAATTTGGGGCCAGCACGAAAGCTGAGGCTGGCCGTTTTCAGCTTGGTGACAGAGACTCGGCTGGTAGCACTCGAAGGCAGGTACCTGCGGCCTGGAGAGAACCTCAGGGCATGGTGGACAGAGGCGGCTTGGGAACCGAAGCGTCTTCCATAAGATGACAGTCTCTGCCCTTCCATGGTCAGACCTCTTAATGAGGCTCTGCAGACTCATGAGAGATTTCCCTCTGTGTGCTGCAAAGGGTTTTATACAAGAGGGTGAGGCATCCCTGGGCATGTGCGTGTAAAGGGCTGGAGGAGGGGGGGGCAGAGGAATGGGTTTTATGCCAAAACCTAACATCTCATACCAACCATGCCAAGAGCCCTGTGCCCTGGCCAAGCAGCAAATGAAAGGCATTAGGGAGAAGCTTTGAGTAACTTGATGGATTCAAGAGAAAATGCACTCAGATGAACTATCTGGTCACAGACTTCACTAGTGATGTGTCACACAATGAGATTTTCACAAAAGCCAGGGAAACCTCTTTGCCCCATAATTACAGGTGGACTGATTGCAAAGGCACAGCAGTTTCAGCCATTCATCTCTTTGGAATCGGATTCCAGTATTCACACGGGAGATGGAAAAAATCTGAAAGCACTTCTTGCAGCTGGAAGTGGGGAGGGAGTAGGGTTTGGGGCTGGGGCTTGAAAATGCAAAAGCAGAACCTACTTTGACTACAGTGCTCTATAACAATGAAAGGACCATGTTTGCATAGATGTGGGGCTTGAAAAAATTATCCATACCAGCTGGAGTTCTGGTAAAAGAAAAGTAACTTCTACTCTGCATCCAGTGCTGTAGCTTAGAGAGGCTCAAAGGAAACCCAGAGCCCCAGAGCAGCTCAAAAGTGTACATTCAGAATATGAGCTTCCCATTGTGAATTTCTAAACTCAGCAGGGCTATGATGCAGTCCTGCCTGAGAACTACATCCTTTAATCTAGAAGGTCTGGCCCTCATCTCAGATATAGTGGTGTGAGTAGTGGGGCAAACTGTTGAAGAAAAGGCACTCTGCATATGCTCATGAAAAACACACAAAAAACAGCTGGCATGCCTCTGTGCTGATACAGAGTGTCCTCCACATCGAATAACTGCAGTGTTATTCAAGTGTCTGGACCCAGGGTGGAAGAAAAAGATTACATGGTGAGAAAGTTTATATTCCTTTTTTAAAAAAAATAGCTGTGGAATCTCTTTTAGAAATTAAGCACTGCAAACAACTGCCTTTACTCTTGCCTTTCCTTGCTGAAGGTGTCAAAATGATAGATCTTTAATGTGTCTCATAGGCAGGTTGAAAAAGGCAACTGAGAAGCTAATTAAGAAAGATTTAAATTAAAAGTCTCTTTGAACTCCCAGATTGGCTTTCCAGTTCAGTGGCTCTTTAAAAGACAGTAACAACCAAAAAGATTTTTTTAAAACAAGCCAGTCCTTCAAACTTCTGGATTTCTTTTCAGCTGCAACTTTGGCAGAAAACACATCTGGGGCTGTGAAGAAGAGAAAAGGCTGGAAGTGAGTGAGTCAGCAACTGATGGGATAAAAGAACTTTATAAACAGAGGGCATCTGACACTTCCCTAGAAGCTGCATTCTTTAATTCAGGCTTCTTCAAACTGGTGTCCTCCAGATATGCTAGAGATCTCCCATGGCTGATGGCTCTTTGGCTGAGGATAATGGGAGCTAGAGTCCAACACAACCGAAGGGCACCGAATAAAGAGAATCTGCTTCAATAGGTCTTCATACCGAGCCTTGTGGCGCAGTGGTTAAATCGCTGTACTGCAGCCAAAACTGCACTCACGACCTGGGGTTCAAATCCCAGGTAGCTGGCCTTCTATCCTTCCGAGGTCGGTAGGACTTTCATCATGCTAATTCCAGATGCTTGGGGCTTGCTTGTCCACAATTCTGTATGTGTTCAGAAGTATTCTTCACTTATACCAGGATCCTCTCCAGTGCTCACTAGGAATGAATACATATGGCTTGAATAATTAGTTCTTTTAAAAACTTGTTTTAGGCATCTGAGTTGTAATCCCTAGCTCATCAAGGAAAGAGTGGAGTCTATAGGTTTACAACACAAGGCTGGGAATTTTAAGGTTTAGGAACTGGGTAACACTGAACTCAGAAATGGGACATTAGTACAGAATGGTTCAAAGCTTGGGGTGCTGGATTCTGAGAAGACAGTAGAGTGTTGTGGTTAGAGTCTGCCTCTGCACCCTGGATCTGCTTCCAAGGTGCAGAATATTCTGCCCCTGTGGCAGTCACCAATCTTTGCTTCCAAATTGGCTGAACTCATTAGGACTCTGGTGATGAAAGCAGCTGATGTTTGTCTGGTGAGGGGAGGAGACAGCCTCCAACACGAACAATTAAGAGAAGCAAATAGGAGGCTGTTTGGCAATGTCTGTGTCTCTTTTGTCAAGCATTAGCCTCTCCTAATTCTTTTAACCTTTCAGTCTTCGCAGCTGGAATTTTTCATGAAGCAAGGCTGAGAATAGTCTACAAAGGGGAGTAAAACCAGGGAGGCGGCGCGGCAAAGAGAACTGTCAACAACCACAAACGTGCTGCTAACATTTCCTGGAGATGTTTGAGAAAATGGTAGTTGCACAGTTAAACTGGTCCTGCTCACTCCATGACTCAAATAGAGCATGGAGATAAGGGGACCACACTCATATGACTCCCAATACTTAATGCCTAGGAGGTATACAAAATAAGCACTCCCAAGCCTTGCAAAGTCATGCCATAGTGTGTGCGCTTGGACTAAAACTCCCATCATCCCTGGCCAACACAGCCATGCTGTTTGGGAATGATGGAGATTGTGGTCCACTACATCTGGAGAGTGCCAGGTTCAGAAAGAAAATATAAGCAGGGACAACTGTGTTGGCATAAAAGAAAATTTCAAATGTGTACTAAGGGGTACAAAAAATGCATGCTTCCAAGAGAATTCTTACTTAATTGGGAAGATGTAAAAGCAGGCAGAATGGGAGAAAGGAGATAGATGTCATAGTTCTCATTAACTAAGGATGTGATTACAGTACATGGGGGAACAGGTCACAGTTTGGACCACTTCTGGAGCAGCCAGGTGGAGTCCGTTTCCCAGCAATCACATGATGTAGGAGGAAATGCACTCAAGCTTGTCCCTCACCTGTTCCCAGGCTGGGCCTTTCTGGTCCAGCTACAGAGCTTCTACTTTTGGGATCCTGGGCTAGAGCAATTCCCCCACAGATAGAAGGGTTGTTTTAAGGGAGATAGCTCCTGTTAAAAATGACCCATTCTGCCATCAGGCACATGACTTTGCCGTCTGACTGCACCCTAAGTTGGGGATGCCCCTTCCATCTCTCCAAAGGGAAAAAAAAGATGTCTCTTCCTTGAAGGGACAATTGATAGGTTTGAGAAGGAAGTGACATCAGAAAACTAAAGAACAGAAATCTATGGTTCAAAGAAGGTCAGCACAGATCAAAATGAAACAGATAAAGGCAGTTTATGAGAAAACCCCCATCATTAAAAAGCTGAGTGTAAGTGTTCCGGGAAGCAGGGCTGACCGAAGAACTTTTGCTGACCCATGTGGTACACAGCTTAAAAGAGGCACACGAGTAAAGGATTCTGTTGTGATTCTCTTAGGTCAGACATTGCTTTGTGGGTGAGTAGGTCATCTCTTCCCTAAGCAAAACCATGCATCTTTTTGAGGGTAAATTGATGAGTTTCACCCAGTCATTTCCAACAGGGGGAAATGGTTGCATGTAGCAATATGTGGATAACAAAGACATACGATCCAGCCTTCCCTTCTCCCCTTTCTCCCATCCTGCTTGCTTTTTACATTTGCCTCAATGAAAGTATTTTCTCAAAGCCTTGCTTGTGCTTTGGCACACTTTTTGTGCCTTTTGGGGTTAGTATAAGAAAGGATCAGGAAGGTTGCTCCAAGACGGACTTTTCTAACCCACCACCCTTCAGTGAAGTTCTCTGTCTGCTTAGGAACCCCCATGAAGCTCTCATAAGATGTTCCTGGGCATTTGAAGTTGTTCTGGGCATTGCTTTTACGGCACATTATTTCCATAATGTACTGGCTTTGTCAGTTGTACCATGGCGCCATGTGAACCATAATGAGCCCTAGAAACCCTCTGTCCCACTCATTTACAGCTGTGCCTGAGAGCAGGAAGATCAGCAGCTGGGAGGGGCACAAGCTGTTTTCCTATGTTTTACACGTCTCCTTGCCTGCCACACCTCTGGCCCATGTCCATGTTCCCAGCCTTGTTAATACAGACACTCGCCGAGGGTCATTCCTCCCTTCGTAAAACAGCTCCTGCTGACCAGGCCAGGCGTCCCTCTGGAGCCAGAAGGCGACAGCCCTACAAAGCCCTTATTAATGGACCCAAGGCTACAGCACAAACTCTGTTTTTAAAACAGAAGGGACTCTGTACTCCATCTCCTCTCCCAAGGTGTCCAGTTGTATACACATAGCGGCAAGATTGATACCACCCCCCTCCAACTTTGCCGCGAGAGCTGCAATTTGCTGCAGGAGCACATTGTCTCTGAAAGCTTTTGCCTGAGAAGTAAGTAGCAACACAAAAGCGAAGCAAAGTTTACGAGAAATGCCCTGTCGTTAAAAAGTTGAGTGTAAGGGTTCTAGGAAGCAGGGCTGGCCCAAGAACTTTTGTTGACCCATGCTTATTTCAGCAAAGGATTCTGGAATATACCTCTTCACTGCTTCATGGCACTTCCTCCTCTGCCCCACCAAGGACTGGCCTACCATGTTTTGGTGCTTGAGGCAGAAACAACAACAACAACAACAACAACAACACACACACACACCCCTCCATGGCCAAGGTGCATAATACCCAAAGCCATCCAGGTTATTTTGGTACATTAAACAGAAATTCTACTAGGACTTTTCTCCAACCTCTGAATGGCAGATCCAGCCTTCAACGTTGTATAGACAGAGACTGAACTAGTCTCAGATTGCCCTCCCCTCCTTGCTTATTTATTTACATGAAAGTATTATTCTCTGTCTTTCTTCATTGCTCTCAATAAGATCTAACTAACAAATAGTTAAAACAATATCTCAGCAATCAAAAATAGTTATAGCCATCAACAGAGTGAAGGAATATAAAACAGTGAGGGGGGGGAGGTAAAGAGTTTTTTAAAAATACAACTATCAAAAATAAGTTAAACATTGGAATTCATGCCACCTCAAAAAGACCAGCCAAGTATGACCGTTGCATGGATGGTCTTTAGAAGGTTGGTGA